GAGGATTTTCGAGTGAGAACTGCTAAGCCAGACATGTTCAAGGAGAAAGCATTTGACGTTGGAGTGCACGTTGTAAAGATGACCAGTTGTCTATTTTTTACAAGATAGTGTTTATTTATAACGCGAAAGGCGCAAGCTGGCCCTGAAAAGAGCTTCCGGATGGGTTTCCATTTATTGTTCCAGCTTCCAGCGGAATCGGATTGCCCTAGTTCGTTGGCTATGTCCCCCTCGCATTAGTCCAAACGCATCCAGATGCCTCCTGGTTTGCACCTGCTGAGGCTGTTTGCAGACTCCGCAGGGCAGGGTAGCCTGATCATGGGTGGCCGTCTACTCCTTCTTTTTTTTTTTTTTGTTCAGATAGAGCGGGAGGGAGAGAGAGGAAGAGAGAGAGAGAAACATCGATGTGAAGGGACACATCGAGTGGCTGCCACCCGCACGACCAACCAGGGCCGGGGACAAACTGCAACCGAGGTACATGCCCTTAGCGGGAACCGAACCCGGGTCTCTCTGTACCGCAGGCCGACGCTCTAACCACTGAGCCAAACCGGCTGGGGCCGTCTACTCCTTCTTGTGATCTGGTCCAAGTTCCCCTGGGAAGGAGCCATGACTCGGTCTGCCGTAGCAAAGTGTCCAGCACAAAGCAGGCACTCCATGTAGACACCATGAAAATGAAAACACCACCAGTCCAAGGACCACACCTGCCTCGTCCTACATTGTATCCTCCTCCCTCACACAGTTCCCAGATACACAGCAGGCGATCAAGGAAGCGTATTGGGTGAGTCAGAAATTGCGTGTCTGAGTTGCTTGGATCCCTGCTCTGAAATTCTCTGATAGTCATAGTGTGAGTTTATGCATACAATCTTGACTTGGCTACCCCATTGTGCAAGTTTATAGGATGTAAAGTTTCCATTTTACAAAAGCTAATGCTTTGTGATTTATTATTTTCCTCTTACCTTCCAACTTCCCACACGATTTTTAAATAGTTTGGATAATTAGGATGACTTCAGGGGTATTTATGGACCTGGTTGCTATGCATGAGTGATTGGTGACTTTGTACAGGATAAAATATAAGCAAGTTGCAGACTAATTTGAGATGAATTCCTGCACGATCAAACCCTAACCACTCACGGGAGGCGAGGGAGACATTTGCAGGGCTGGTCATTATGTGGCAGAGGTCAGCGTGGCCCAGAAACCTTCACTCCCAGCTGTTCGCCAAGGGCCAGATATAATTTCAGCAAAGTCTGAAAACTAATTTAAAAATACCCTCCGTTTCAGAACTTCAGCAACGAACCAGGTGTACCTCCTACTTAAGCAGTGATTTTCTTAGGAGCAATGTTTTGAACTGAAAGTGGTTACAAGAAGAATGAGGTTACTGATAAAAATTATTCCCTTTGGCTAGGGATGATTTTAGTACCACAGGGTAATTGCTTAAAGGAAATTTTCTCAGAGGAGGCTGATACCAGGTGCTTATTAGCATGGTAGTTTTAAACATTGGCGGTGTGAAGAAAAGACCATATCATCCCAATAATTTCTGGGCAATTTATACAGAAAAGGAAATGCATTAACTTTAGCAAAATAGGAATGCCATAGAACTCTAAACCTTTTATTTGTATGACTTGACGTGGAAATGTAATGTTCATGTCTTCATTTATGTCTGATTTCCTTAGTGGTGTTTTTTTTTTTTTAATCTAGCTTTAAATTTTTTTTGATTGATTTTTAGAGAGAGGAACGGAGAGGGAAGGAGAGAGAGAAACATCGATGGGAGAGAACATCTATTGGCCGCCTCCTGCATGCCCCCCACTGGGGATCGGGCCTACATCCTGGGCATGTGTCCTGACCGGGAGTCGAACCGGCGACCTCTTGGAGCATGGGTTGGTGCTCAACCACTGAGCCTCACTGGCCAGGCTCTTTGGTGGCTTTTAAGTAATAGTTAGAAGCTTTAAAAGTGTTTTATTATGATGAGGTGTAGGTGGCCTTAGCGATGCAGGTAGGACCGGAGTGGACTGAGACTTGTTAGCCTCTGACAGCAGCGACCACCCGTTTGCACGGCAGCTGTTATTTTTGCCCTTGGTTTGGGCAGAACCTGCACACCTTCGGACCAGCTCACCTCCCGCCTGCTCTTGGAAGAAATCTCAGCAGAAAAACGCCTGTCCCGTCCACTGTGGTGGGGCAGTGGCTCCTGGCCGCGTGGGGTCCTGGAGACGCAAGTGCAGGGCGAAGCTTCCAGGCCTGTAGACGTTCTGTGCGTGGTCTGCTGGGGCAGCCCCTTTGTCTCCCTTCGAGAAGCGACTTTTCTCTTTTTGACACGAAGAGGCTCTTCGCAGGCAGAGTGTGTTCCTCTGTGGCAGCATCTGCACTGGTGCTGGAGAAACTAGAGACTGCAGAGGAACGCAGGATGTGCGCACGGGGGAACCTGGGAAATTGAATGTAACGTATTTCTTTTTACGGATGAGGAAACTGAGGCCCAGAAGTGGGCCGATCAGACGTGCAGCTGGGTATCGGCCGCCTGGGGGCCCGACTGCCTCACCGCGCTCTGTCCCGGGCGTCGCAGTGACTGGATGGAGGAGCCGTGTGGAGGAGTGTACATGGCAAAGGGGAGGCTGAAAAGTGTGGGAATCTGCAATTCTGCGACTTAGGGCGACGTCTCTCTTTTCCTTAATTTGTGTCGCGGTCATGCATGCTACCTCGTTACAGAGAGTGGTGGCGTTAGCCTCCCGTGGACCCCGCAGGCACCCCTGGTTCTCCACTGAAGGGCCATGCACCCGGGCACGGGGAACAGCAAAGGGAACACTTAGGATGTTTTCATCCCGTCACAGGTTTGCTGCTGTTACTCTGTAAGCCACAGATGTACAGGAGCGTGCTTCCCAGTTTACATTTGACCTGATCATTAGAATACATTTTGGCTTAATATTTAAGCATGCCTAGGCTGGTGTGTATGTGTGTGTGTGTGTGTGTTTCTCGCCTCACCCGAGGACATCTTTTCATTTTTTTTTGGTTCCGATAGAGTGGGAGGGAATAGAGTGGGAGGGAGAGAGACATTGACGTGAAAGGGACACATCGAGTGGCTGCCACCCGCACGACTCAACCAGGGCCGGGGACAAACTGCAACCGAGGTACGTGTGTGCCCTTAGCGGGAACTGAACTCGGGTCTCTCTGGACTGCAGGCCTACGCTCTAACTGCTGAGCCAAACCGGCCAGGGCTAGGCTGGTGTGTTTAAAGGCATTTTGTTCACTACCTAAAATAGACGAGTAGTCAGGTTGGTTGTAATATGAATTGTCAGCATTTTTTCCCCCTGTTGGAACTAAAGTGCTTACTGTGGGTAAGGAGAAAAGTAAGAATTTCTAAGTTCAAACTCTCAAGGAGTTGTCCAAAGCCGCAGTGTTCCGTCCTAGCCTGCACTGGCCACGTGGAACAGGTGCGCTCGGGTGAGTACTGATTGCGGCGTGGCCGGGGAAAATCTGCTGGGTGGTTCTGTTCCACTTAGAGCAGCAGAGACTGCCCCGAGGATGCGGCTTGTTCCTTGTGATGAGAAAGGGATCAGGGCCAGCATCACCCCATGGGAGCTGTATACTCACGTGACGTCTTTCTTCTTTAAATGATAGAAACCAACAGGAGTTCGAAGAAGAAGGTCATCCTCTATGTACCCAACATCTGGAATTAACCACTCTGAGCCTTTTGATTAGCTTGCTTTTCTCAGTCTCTCTCTGTACTTTAATAATTCTGCAAGTGACATAGGGGTAGTTATTAAACACTTAAAACAGTAATACAAATAGTATTCTTTTAAAATAATAAATGCTTTTTATATAATATTAATACTTTTATATGTATATATAAGTTTGTAAAGGAAATATAAAGTAGTGTTTAGTAAGAGTTTTTTTTGTTTTGTTTTTTGTTTTTGTTAATCCTCACCCAAGGATATTTTCTAGATAGAATGGAAGGGAGGGGTGGGGGGGGAGACAGACAGACATTGATGTGTCCACATCGACTGGTTGCCTCCTGCATAGTCCGGGGGTCAGGGATCAAATCGGCAACCCAGGTGCATGTCCTTGACTGGGAAACAAACCCATCACCCTTGGGTCTGCAGGCTGATGCTCTAACTGTTGAGCCAAGCTGGTCAGGGCTTAGTAAAGTTTTTAAATATTAAAAAAATGTTTTTAATATGTTTTTTTTAAATGATTTTTTAGAAAGAGGAAGGGAGAGAGAGATATATAAACACCAATGTGAGAAACATTGATCGGCTGCCTCCTGCACGCCCCCCACTGGGGATCAAGCCTGCAACCCGGGCATGTGCCCTGACCGGAAATCAAACTAGGACCTCTTAGTGCACGGATGACGCTCCATCCGCTAAACCACACCAGCAGGGCTAGTAAGAGTTTTTAAATTATGGAGAGTGATTTATCTCTCATATAACAATTCAGGGCGGTTACAGGGCCTCCCTGGTGCTGGGGACCTGGGCCCCTTCTGTTGAGATGGCCATGCCTGCTCCTAGCACCACCTCGTGATCGCAGGTTCCATAACATGAACAACGGAAAAGGGAGGCTTCACTCCTGCTCATACACCATTCATGAGACCGGGTCCCAGGGTCACACTTAGCTGCAAGGGAGGCTGGGCAGACACGGAAGCGTCTCCTTAAAGTTCTATTACTGTGGAAGAGGACCGGCACGAGGTGTGAGGAGCATCTCCATCAGAGTTTTCAGCCACAGGAAAGCATTTACTTTTGGAATGCTTTTTTTTTTCTATCTCATTGCTTTGTGAGGAAAAATTTTCCACTGAAGTTATCAAGTGGACTTGAGCTACCGAAAAGAGTAAACCAGAGTGAATGCATTTGCCTTTGGGATTTATTCCAATGGTTTCAGGGAGGAGTGTGAAATATATGGAGATGAGGTTGCTTCTCCGGGACCCTTATTTTGTCTTGTGCTGCCTTTGGCATCTTCCTTTTCCACCAGTTTTGATATTTATTTCACACTTAATGTCACACTTGTTTTCTCTGTGTTGGCAGGTATGGCACAGTCTCAAGGCTGGGTGAAGAGGTACTTCAAGGCCTTTTGTAAAGGCTTCTTCGTGGCCGTGCCGGTGGCAGTGACCTTCCTCGATCAGGTCGCCTGCGTGGCCAGAGTGGAAGGAGCATCCATGCAGGTGACAATGCGGCTTCCTTCTTGACAGCAAGCGGTTCCTCGTTTCTCAAGCCCTGGGGTGGGGGGGGCGGGGCTTTCTCTGGTCAGATCTGTGCTGGGGACTGAAAGGTTTGGACCTTGACCCGAAACTTAGCTGTGTTAACTCGATAGGGTCTTCAGCTGCCGTCAGAACCAGAGGGGGGTGAAGGAAAAGAGCCACCAGCGTGTTAGCTGTATCTCTCTAGTTTTTTTGGAATTGCAAATGGAGATTCTAAATGTTTTTGATTAAGTTTTTTTTTTTAATTTTTATTTTGTATCCTCACCAAAGGACATGTTTATTGATTTTAGAGAGAGAGGAAGGGAGCGTGTGAAAGAGAGAGAGAAATATCAATGTGAACCCATAATCTAGGTATGGGCCCTGACCGGGAATTGAACTCGCAACCTTTTTGGTGCATGGGTTGATGTTCCAACCAACTGAGCCACCCGGCCCAGCGCAAAAATGGAGATTCTAAAGAAATTTTACTAAATGACATCATATTCTGTGGCTGTGGGTTGGTATTTTAAGATATTTTAATTATTCATGTTTGAATCCATACTTAAATGTGTTTTTAAGACCAAGTTATTAGTGCAGATAGAGGATGGGGTTGGGTCAAATTCAGTTAGTCTAGTGATCAATCGATCTATTTGTCTATCTATCTGTTTATCTATCATCTATTGATCTATCTATCTACCTATCATCTATCTATCTATCCATCATCTATCTATCTATCTATCTATCTATCTATCTATCTATCTATCATCTATCTATCGTCTCTAGTAGGCAGAAAGGTCTAAGTCCAGAGCCCCGGTCCCAAGTAATCTAGTGTGTTCTTTATGCTTGTTGTTGACTGACAAGTTTAAATGAAGAATTTGGAGAGGAGATTTCCGACAGTTACATGCAAAGACTCTTCTGGAATAACTGAGGGAAAACGTTACTGTTCTAAAGTTGATGTCTAGACCGAGCTATGTGTGTGTTTATGCAGATAGGAAGAGTTTGCGTTCTGTGATATGATTTGTTTACCTCCCTCACTGTTTTAAATTCATGCATTATGCTAAATAGCTGTGCAACACTAAGTGATAAGAGCTTAAATTTATACGGAGAATAACCAGCTTGTGTGTGTGTGTTTAATCCTCACCCAAGGATATTTTTTCTATTTATCATCAGATAGAGTGGAAGGGAGGGAGAGCAAGGGAGAGAGAAACATCGACATGAGAGGGACACATCGACTGGTTGCCTCCTGCACGACCCCGACCAGGGCCGGGGACAATCGCAACTGAGGTACGTGCCCTTGACTGGAATCGAACCTGAGACTCATTGGTCTGCGTGCCGACGCTCTAACCACTGAGCATACCGGCCAGGGCTGTGTGTGTGTTTTTTAATGTAAGTTAAAACTGGTTAAAGGCATAGAAATCCAGTAGGAAGGAATTTACTTTTTTTAAAAAGCCTATTAATTTTAATTTGTGTTTGTCCTTACACCATTAGATATAGGTAGCTGATTTTGGAAGTGAAGACAAACCAAAACAAAAGACCTTGTTTTCCTAAGCAGATGGATGTGCTTTGATGATTTTGGAGAGACGGGCTTTCTGAAAATGCTCTCATGATCTCAGTTCAAGTTCATAGGAGGAAGGCAGATTTTTCTCTCTCCACAGTGAGTCTGTGATTAGTCTGCTTTACATTTTTGGCTGAAAGTTACCAAAAACATTACCCAAAGGGTGACCCTCTTCTTCCTCTGGCTGTGAGGACTTGTGCTCCAGGCTAATAGGCAAACCCTTTGGATGTTACTCCATCTCATAGAGGTAGAATAAAAGTCCAGAAATGATGAAGTCAACTTAAAACCACTGATTGTTAAAGCCCAAAGGTGCAAAAAGAACATGCCGTCCAGTATTCGCCTAAGAGCACACTGGTGCCCAGCCAAGGTCGAAGGTGTGTCTGAGGTCACTTAAGTCACAAGTTCATGTCTAAGAATTTACCTTTTTATTGTATGTATTGCTGAGCTCAGCTGTTTCCTTGAGTCGGGGCAGTCAGTGTGGTCCACCGAAGGTGTGCTCTCGGGGTGAAGGTGAAGATCTAAAGTAGGGCTGTCTGAACAGTGACTCTGCAGTCAACATTTGAGGGTGCGTAGGACCTTCTCCTGGGCAGGGAATTCTGAGCCCAACCCTTGGTCTCTCAGGTTCCCTCCATAGGAGGTCACCAGCCCCGAGCAAGCCCATCACTTGCTTTGAAAGCAAAAATATTTTGCCTGGCCGGTGTGGCTCAGTGGTTGAGCATCGACCCTGCACCAGGAGGTCTCCGGTTCCATTCTCGGTCAAGGCACAAGCTCAGGTTGTGGGCCGGATTCCCAGTGGAGGGCATGCAAGAGGCAGCCAATCCATGTTCTCTATCATCGATGTTTCTCTCTCTCTCTCCCTCTCCCTTCCTCTCTCTCTAAAATCAATAAAGAAAAAGAAAACAAAGAAAGCAAAGCTAGTTCACTGCAGGAGCACAGCACAGAAGGGGCGGGGCCTCCAGGTGCCCCGCTTCATCCCTGAGTGCTGTTTGGTGCGTTCACACGGACAGGTTTTACATTCCCGCCTCTCCAGCTCTGAGTCCCAGCAGCCTCATCTTAGACCCCGGCTTAGGGATGCTAGACCTTCTTGGTCGAACTTTTGAATCAGACCCTTCAGATGAGGTTAAAACTGCCTTGTCCACCACCACCCACGCCCGTGTTTGGTCCCTGGGGTCCCTGCGAATCCATCAATAGGGATGTTATTTTGGTAACAGATACTCCCATTGATGATGATTCTCTCCACTTTCATTGGTGGTGCCTGGCTGCGCAACCATCACTCTCCTGGCAGGGACTTTCCCCGAACAGGAAGCCTCCTGGGCTCGGGGCTGATGTTCCAGAGGGCCAGGCGGCCCCCAGAGATCTCCAGTCTGCACGTGGTTAGCCCAGTGTTTACCCACTGGACACTTACAGTCGTGGCCTCTGTAGGAACTTGAGGAAAGTTCCTAAATTCACTAAAAAAAGGTTAGAAATGGATCATCTTACAAAGAAACTACTAAGTAGTGTTATTCTTTTTTTTTTTTGTGGTACGTGCCCTAGCGGGAACTGAACCCAGGACTCTCTGGTCCGCAGGCCAATGCTCCAACCGCTGAGCCAAACCAGCCAGGGCAGTAGTATCATTCTTAAATGTCATTCTGTTGATTCCTATGAAGTTCGCTTCAGATGCATTAGACTTTCTTACGGCGTTCCTGGACCTCACTCCCAAGAGTTCAAATTTGTTACCTTATAGTTTGTTTGATACATAATGTAGAATTTTCTTGGCTGCTGGTTACAGAGAAACAGCTTGTATTGACGTAGATGCACAGGGGGATTTATCAGGAGGCGTTTGCTGTGCTCAGGAGGAAGGCACAGGGTGGCCATCAGCAGGGACAGGCAGAACCAGGGACTCGAGCTCTGCCAGGGTGCCCGGTCCTCTCCGTTCCCTCCGGCTGTTTCTGCCCGCATTTGGCTGTGTTCTTGGAGACCAGCTTTCGTCACCACGCAGAGCATGGCCGCTGGCAGCACCAGGCCTCCCAGTGCCCAGTGTCCCGCCGCCCGAGGGGGAACTCTCCTTTTGTCTTCATTGCACTTTGAAATGTGGGGAAGGACTGTGATTGGCTCAGCTCGGGGGCCTACGCCTGGCCTATGCAAGACAGGTCAAGTCCGGCCAGCAGGTCCGGGCGCCGCGCGTGGCCCGGCGGGGACAGGTGCACACTCCTAGCCCGTGGCTCGGGGAGTAAGAAAGTGACAGCATCTATTTGAATCACATTGTCCCTTGGGGTGTCAGGGTGACATTTCTCAGAAGCAGGGGGTGGGTGCTGTTTTCAGAATCAAAGGGGAAAGGATAAGCTGGGAAGAAAGGGAAAAAATTGTATGTTTATTACTGTGGTGACTACATTTTGGGGATTTTAGACTATTTGTAAGTATCATAGATAATTTATTTACAATTTCTGTAGATCTCACTAAATGTGACTTAAAACGAGGAGCAGAAATTGCAAGAATAAGATATGGTTATTCCTGAATTCAGCATATTTGAGGGCACCTTTTCTACCGCACAGCCTGGGTGAACAGAACATGTTTTAGACTACGGGGTTCCTTAGAATTTGGGACAAAAAGTTGGAAAAAATTTCTGTCTTCAAATTTACCGAATGATGCCAGTGCTGGAGTCGCGGGCAGGGTGTGGAGGTCTCTGGAAGCCCCGAGCGTCCTGCAGGGAACATCCCTGCTTCTGTGGCATCAGAGGCCTGACGTGTGTCTCTGGGGTGAGACCCTTGGTGGCTCAGCCATGCAGGGAAGGAGTACTCTGCAGGTGTAGTGATGTCTTCTCTACCAAGGGTCAAAATCTGAAAGGCAGAAAAGCAAGAGGCAAAAGCAGTAATAACAGCAGCAGCAGCAACGTGGAGCTGAAAAGGAAAGAACTTAGTTGGGTGATGGAGGGTGGGGGTGGAAGCTACTCTGCCGGGGCAGTGGGCAGGAGAGTGGCCCCTGGGAGGAGGCTCCGCACAGGATGGGGCTCCGGTGGAGAGGCCCCTGCGGTCCCTTGGCGGGTGGCACATGTCCGCCGCGTGTCCCTGCGGAGCCCCGTGCATACGTCATACACGCTCTGCCTCTGGGTCTTTGCTGAAGGAACCTGTGTGCCATTGGAAGGACTTCCTGTTGGTGTAGGTCATCCGTCCGGAGCATCCTTCATTGCAAAGTACTTTAGCTCACCTGTGTATCCAGGTGGAAGGATCATCCCTGGTCACTTCAATGGTATGAGGAATTCTGTGACTCAGGTCATGTTGGGGTGCGGACAGTCATGAAAAGCACTGGTAACTGTGAGTTGGAACAGGAAGTTGTTATCAAGTGGCTAATACGCACAAAACAGTATTTTAGGTGCCGTAGGGTGAGTCAGATCCAGATTCTGTCTTCACGGCCCTTTGGTGTTAGTGGAGGAGGTTCAGGAATGACTGGGCCTGGA